AAGGAGGGGGGGGGGGATCATACACCAAGTTTTGAAGCTTGAAACATCGATGTCGTATAATAGGGAAAAGGAAAAAACTACTTGTTCTGTGGAAGAACCAAAAACTAATTGGAATTACCCATAAGTACATTCGAAGAAAAATCCAAAAGTACTCGAGTGGGATAGCTAGCAATCCCGAAGGCTAAGCATTTAACTCTTTTCTCTGTTTCTCCTTTCAATCTTGATTAATAGACGAAGTGAAGATGCATAAACGAAGTAGAGCTGAATATCGTCTATAATTGTTTTAGAAGAATTGTCCATGGACAAGATAAGATTTACGTTTTTTCCCTGATAAAGCACATAGTTCCAAGTCTTTGGAGTTTAGTTTGCTGCATAGGCAAACGTTTCTTGCCCCCTTTCTTTACATCTACTCACTTGTCTTTAAAATTTATGACATTTAGCGAACAAAAGAGTGGTGCTTGATATCTTCTGTTACAATGATGGAAGACTGCTAGGGAGCTTATAGATTAAAAATTTCCTGTTCATAGTGGATGTACTGCTGGCCTACTCGGTGTATGGATAGTTTCTTCTTTTTTTGTGAGTTGTGACAAGAATATCTTAAGTTCTTATATATCGGATAATTTTAAAATTGTTTACATGTATCTGCATGAACAATTAATAGAAAAGGTATGAAATCATAGACAAACTAGAATTATCATGCACGAAGCTAGAAAACCTAAACAAAAAGACTTGCAATCCTAAGCAAGAAACCTAGCTAAAAAAGGAAGTTATATGTGGTGGATGCTGGACATTTTGCTGATGGAAGGGTTGAAATTAAGTGATTAGAAAACCTGTTAAATCATCTTGTTCGGTTGTCCCTCCTCCATGATTAGGTAAGTCATGTTTGTGGGATTAGTGTCCTGGTTTTACTCTACTCCATCGGGGTAGGGGTAAGGTTTGCGTACACACTACCCTTCCCAGGCTCCTCACCTGTGAGATTTTACGTTGTTGTTGTTGTCCTAATTTTACTGCAGTCCGCTTACAATTACCAAAGATAAGCTAATTTTCCCTCATCTTTTTCTGTCTTGAGGCTAAAAAAGGGCCTTTAAGCAGAAACATATTTATTGACGAATTTCTTTCTGTCGTTTAGATTCCACACCTGAGACCTACTGAATACAAGAGATCCAGATTGTCCAGGAACCGCAGGACTGTGAATCGTGCTTATGGAGGTGTGCTGTCTGGAAGTGCTGTAAGGGAGAGGTATGCTTTTTTTTGTCAGTGGAAACTGCATATTTGCTTTTGAATATCTTTACACTGGGGTTTCTCTGCGCTAGTACTTAATCTGTCAATGAATTTACCTATGTAGAATCATCCGGGCTTTCTTGGTTGAAGAACAAAAAATAGTGAAAAAGGTGTTGAAGATCCAGAAGGCAAAGGAAAAGCTTGCCTCAAAGAGCTGAAGATAAAGACACTGAAGTCTCTTGCAATTCTATTATGTTTTCAGTTAACTTGGGCTGTGATGACGATTAAGATGTGTGAAAGAACATGTTGAAATGCTAGTACTCGATATCTAGTAGAATCTGAGGCTCTAGTATGGTTTTGTAGACTCACTTGTTGACATTATTGCCACCTGACTGGAGAGGTTGTTTCCTCTTTCCAGTTCAGTGATACTTTAATGCATGGTAACTTTTGAATTTAATTTAGGATTATAACTACTTTTTAAATGAAACGATGCATGCTTGAGCTCTTCAAACCCTTGGAAAGTGTAAGAGAAAATGAATGATCACTTTCAGTTACAATCAGCTGCAACCCTTAAATCTGATATTGATGAGTTTGTGAGATTTGAAACATATACTGGAGCAAACACAAGGAAGTAGAGTAGATCCAAACCCAAAGAGCAACGACCCAAGACCTGTTTGTGGTGAGTTTTGGTGTTAGAGGTACAACTTTTCCATGTTAATTGAAGCATGGGGATATCAGTCATGTTTTGTTCATGGAGTTTGTTCGGCTCATAAGTGCCGTAAGACATTCAAATCTACGATTGCTTACACTTACCTCGGTGGAGAATTAGCTGGTCCGCTAATTTTCCCTTTTTCTTTTCTCAGAATAAAAGGTAAAAAGATCCTAGCACTAAAACGTAACAAAGCCCTTGCCAATTCAAGGAGTAAATTCCTCTACCTACGAATATTGTATACTAATAAGTAATTTGAGGGGAGATGCAAAATTGGTTGTGTAAAAAATGGGATTCGAACCTCTTGTTAAGAGACCGTTTGGATGGGCTTGTTTGTAAGTGACTTTTAAGTTAAAAGTCGAATTCTAGCTTTTGGCTTATTTTTGTCATTTTAGCTTAAAAACAAGTGTTTAAAAGTATTTTTTTACTTTATCCAAACACTACAAAATGGTTTAAAATTTATTTTGGCTTAAAAGAATTTAAAATAAGTCAATCCAAACAGGTTCTAGGTCTATATGTTCTCCTTCCGAAAACAAGTCGCTAACATTATTTTGTTTTGTTTTTGTCGATTGTTTTAGACTTTTAGTTGTTTGATTTACGTTTAGAAATATTTTGGCAAACTCATCTGTATGCTTTTCAGGGTGGCCGAGTGGTCTAAGGCGCCAGACTCAAGTTCTGGTCCTCGTGAGAGGGCGTGGGTTCAAATCCCACTTCTGACATTTTCTTTTCACCTTTAACAATTTTTTTTTATTAAAAAAAAGAAAGCAATTCCTTTAGGTCAAAAGTAAGGTCTAATGAAATGGAAGAAGCAGGGAAGAAAGCAGGACGATCAGCGAAGAAACACGCCGGGGCAAATCGCTCAGGTGAAAGTGTAGTTTAAGCGTCATTAATTCAACTAATTGCTTTTCTGCATATGCCCTTAGGGATGGTGTTGCTCCCTGGACTGAACCATAAAAAGCACCTCTAAATCTTTTTAGATGCTCACATAATTAAGAAATATTATTTACATCTTGGTAATTTTAAGGATAAAGTTTGATCCAGTCTTATTATAGTTTGAAGTTGATCTAACTTGCTATTTATCCAATTTGCACGCGCCCTTTCTTAGGTAACAGCTTCTCAAATTAGTAAAAGAAAACTTCTTTTTCCTTGAGAACAAACTAGAACAGATCTTAAAAATCAATGTAGAATTCAAGTTTTAGAGAGTTCCCAAACCATCATTATGTCAACAAGTAGTACATGGTGTATGTATGCCAAAGTAGTGTTGGCCTGTTAGGTCTCAAACAGCGTCTAATCTGATAAAATTTTGAGGGAAAAAAAAAATGAAAGAGAAAAATCCAACTTGAGAAAGGAAAAACATGCAACAAAACATACTCTCAGGACCTAATAAAGACTGAGGAAACAGGAAAAAATATCCAAACATATTATGTTTAAATTCGAAGAAAGCCAAAAGAGTGAAAATACAACATAAAGCTGTACAATAACTTTTAACAGGATATCACTGTTTTTTGAGTGCTATGACTAGGTTTTCTTCTTCCATTTTTTTCTTTTGGCATCCTGTAACTGAAACAGACTAATTCGGATACTGGATGCCGAAAGAGAAAATAAAGAAGAACTAGCTGTACATAAAGCCAGGAGGTTCTCTGTTTGGGTGTAGAACTAGGAGTAGCATTTGTTTGTTGAGTCGTAAGTGGTGGATATCTCACTAGGACATGAAGGAGAATCCCAACTCAAACTAGGCTTCCATTCATCAGCCAAACTAGTTGTCAAACTGAAAGGAAATCCAATTGATCTGATGTTTTCCCATTGTGTAGTATTATCATTTGTTGAATCTTGATTACTCCTTAACCCTGTCTCATCATCTTCTATTCCTATACTTCTTTGGATCTCTTGTGGTGAACTAATTGAGAAGCTATTCATCTGTTGATTTGAACCTTCAAAATCAATAGTCTCAGAGGTCTTTATGTCATCAGTGATTAAGGAGGGGTGTGTGTTGAAAAACATGGAAACCTCAGGGGACGAAAACATGAAGTTACAAGGAACTTCAGTACTAGGACTTGAAAGAAAAGATGGTCTTGAAACCATAGTATTAAGGGTCTTATATGAAGGAACATTTGAGGCTAAGTCATTAGTACTGGATAAGTGGAGAAGTGATCCAGTTTCAGTTAAAGAAGAGAGATTCTCCGGGCTGAAATGAACAGTTGTACTTTGATTGAACACCTCTGGAGATGCTACTTCAGATAATGGATTTACCCAAGAGTAAGAAAGAGCTCTATTTGCCATTGAGTTGGTTTTCTTGAATATTCTGCAGATAGCCCACGAATCCTGCAGGAACCAAGTTGAACATAGCGATTTAAACTAAGATAACAAAATCTAAAATGGAATATAAGGAGGATAATTAAGCTGTAATATGGACCTACATTTGGTGGAAAATTTCTATCCAAGAATTTCTTGGGTTGTGCTGACTCAATATTACTTGTAGGAAGGCGAAACTCGTGCATCATCCAGTCAGTTTTTATGCCTCTAGCGGCTCTACCTCTGTAGAAGACTAAGGACTTCTTCAAACCAATGCATTTGGTGCTATCAGAGGAATATATTGGTCTATCAGTTCCAGTGGCCTTCCAAAAACCAGCTCCTGTAACTCGGTTTGGACGGGCGCTGTTTCTGTACTTACGGTCCCTTGGACAGTAAAAATACCACTCTTTTTCCCCTGTAGATGCTAGCTCTGGACAAAAACTGGGAAGTCAAAGAAATAATAGAGTCTGGTTCATAATATGCAAGAATGACATGCAAACAAAAATAGTGTGCCATCTTCTCCAAGTCTAAGATTTATATTGATTTTCTGAAAGGAAACAATCATATAGTTTAAAACATTCTTCTTTTTTTCAAAACCAGACAAATTAATGCTCCAAATATGCATAAACAGAGACCAACCCTGATGCATATTATGTGATTGCAGAAGATAGCTACTGCATGTTTAAAAAATGGTCAAGAAGTTTCCTTGGTTCTTTTTTAGTTTAACTTCTATACACCATCAGGCGACCTAAAGATAACTATAAATAACCATTCACAAAAATTGGATTAGTAGCCTGAAAATAAGGACATTTACTTCCTACAATACGTCAGTGTGCACAAGTTAATCTTTTTTTACTATTACGAAAGCAAGGACGGTTTCCCATTCGTGAAGAAATTAGAAATGGAAAAAGAACCTAAAGAGACTGGAAATTAGATGCAGAGGAATTATTTTCTTACTTGGAAGATCCCATGGATCAAATTTATATATATCCACTTGTTTGATGAGCTCAATAGGAAGTGATCTCTGCTGAATCTTTCTCTTAAGATAGAATCCAACTAACTCTTCATCTGTCGGATGAAATCGAAAACCAGGTAGCATCACTTCATCAAGCTTTTCCACATCACTTTTGTTATCCATAGTTTCTCTAGTAAAAGTGTCACTGCAAATCAAGAATATAATTCTCTAGTAAACAGGGCAAAGTTTTGATTGGGATAGCAACTTAAAGCGTAGTAACATAGTTTGAGGCCAAATTGTCCCGTAAAAACTGGAACTTAAGGACCAAAGTGAAGGCTATAGAGTTGTTTAAATCCAAATTTATGATCTCAAAGAGACTAAAGAGTTAGTGTGTATGGAGATATGTTTTTCACGCCTCCCATGATGTGCTATTGTTGGCTACCTCTTATATATTATTTTGAATTATGGCAATCAAAACAAAATGCCAAGGCAATCTTCTAATGAAATTAGTGTATAATTAATATATTAATATGTTGGAGTTTGAATAGTTTTTTGTTTAGGGTGCGGTCTGATTACTGTTTGACAACGTTTGTGTACATCCTCTGGAAGTTCCTCTATTAAAATATGACTTTTAGGTCATTGGATCTAAAAATGGCAGTTTCTATTCTCTGATGAAAGCTTCTATACTTCCATAATTTTATTCTTTCAAGTTTCAGCGACCTACGACCACGTGACCTGCCTCATTTAATATTTTGGATTCGTAGACATTCATTAAACAAAGTTTTGAAAATAATTACAGTAAATAACCACTTGCCCCCTTTCAATTAGGAACTACTCTCTCGTCACATATTAGTTGTCATGTTTCACTTTTCGAGAGTCAATTTGATTAATTTTAGAAGCTCAACTCAATATTTCAAAATTAAAATTTGAATATTCAAAAACTATACAAAAATTACAAGAAGTTGCAATTTTTCTCATGTCTTTTTTTTGCTAAATATTTTTCTCACGTCAATATAATGAAAAATATATTTTAAAATATTAGTCCATGACAATTAATTGGCACGGCGGGAGTTATAAAGTGGCTAGTTGGATACGGAAATACTCATAAACTGTTGTCTTAAGTGTTTGTCTTGTCACCTTTGTCTTTTAATTGATCCATTTATTTGGTCAAATTCTCATTACAACCGTATTCCCACTTGGTTACAAGACCATTGAATTCATGTGCAATGCGAGACATGAATAGAGTATGACGATATATTTTCCGACAAACCTGAATTTTTCTTAGCATAAGTTACAGAGAATACTACGTAATTCTTCAATAAGAAAATCTCAATGAGACTTTGGCTTAATTTACCATAAAGTATCTTACTTTTGATCAGTAAAAGAGGTTAAGATGGTAAAAAGAAAGGAGGAAATTATGTTGAAGCATCAGAAGATTGATGGATCTGGAAATTTACGTCAGTGCATTGATTTAGGTTGGAATTTGGAGAAGATTGAGCATAATGCAAGACTAGGTTAACCACATTGTTTTACCAGCATCTAAGTGGCGAGCATGTGCACCCAAATACAATGAAGCTAATTAATGGGTAAATATTGCAGTTCACCAAACATAAGCCACGAGCAGCTCACCTACTACAGTTGACTCGCTGTTTGACTGCTTCTGTAATCTTTTGATCATTTATTATTACTTTCTTTGAAATGTCGTCAAATATTTCGAATTCAATATTTATCAAAATGACTAATATTAGGACCAAAGAAAGTAATAATTATTTTGTGTAACGTAGAGTAATATAGAGGAATAACACTTTTATATGATATTACAGAAAAGAGTTCAAAATGTTCCTAAACTGTTGGAAAAAGTTTAAAAATACCCTTCATTCACCTATTGGGCTAAAAATACTCATCCATCCACCTTTTTGGTTCACTTATGCCCTTTGACCGTTAGGTCAATGATGAATTAAAAATAATTATTATTCTTTTTGTAAAACTTAAAAAAAAATGACAAAATATTTTCGTTTTGTAAACTAATTCACCAGTAATCCACTAATCTAGTAAAGTCTTCTTCTTCTTTTTTTCAGAAAACAATTCAGTTTTTACAAAAAAAAAAGTATTTTTTCCAGTTTTTTTAAAGCATTTTTTTGTAAAAACTGAAAATATTTTGTAAAAAAACAAAGAAAAAAATGTTTTTAATAAAATATTTTTGTATTTTAAAAACTGAAAAAAAATATTTTCAACAAAATATTTTCGTTTTTGAACAATATTTTTTTCATTTTATTTAAAAAAACAAAATATTTTTTCTTTAAAAAAAACTGAAAAACGAAATGCTTTAAAAAAACTGGAAAAAAAAATATTTTTCAAAAACGAAAATAATTTTTTGAAAATATTTTTTTTAATTTTTAAAAAACCAAAATATTTTATTAAAAGCATTATTTTCTTCTGTTTTTACAATTTTTTCCAGTTTTTACAAAAAAAAAATGCTTTAAAAAAACTGGATTTTTTTTTGTTGTAAAACTGAAAAAAAGACTTTACTAAATTAGTGGACTATTGGTGCATTAGTTTAAGAAAACGAAAATATTTTCAATTTTTTTTTAAAGTTTTAAAAAAAGAATAATAATTATTTTTAATTTAGCATTGACCTAATGGTCAAAGGGCATAAGTGAACCAAAAAAGTAGATTGAGGGATATTTTTAGCCCAATAGGTGAATGAAGGGTATTTGTAAACCTTTTCCAACAGTTTAGGGGCATTTTGAACCCTTTTCCGTAAAATATAAGGTGGAAATTGCTCCTTTTTTTACCCATAAGAGGTTGTAGTACGTAGTATATAAAAAGTTGGGAATTTCTTTTATTTTACTCATCTGCAATGATGAAAATGTCACATAAATCTTTCAAAGAATTACATCACATCTTCAAAATGTATGCACGCTTTGGTAAAATAATATTTACGACTGAAAATGACTTTCTCATAGTCGCATATGCAAAATGATGACGATTGTATTTTTGTGTAAGGAATCAATCATTTGTCGATATACATAAGCCTTATAACATAACATTTGTGTGGCACTTTAATTTGCTGATTTATCAAGGGGTAAGGAAAAAAGTTTAGCTTAATATAGACAATGTTTGGTGGAGCTTTTGCATTAGATTGCTAACCAAATGTCTGCTGGCTGGACAGCAGATAATTAATAAATAAGCAATCCATAGTAATTATTGCTCATTCTTCAATGCAACCCTTTCACGTTTACGGCTCTCGTTAATTTCAATTTCCAATTAAGGAATAGGTCAAAGCTCTTGTAACCAAAGCTAAAGGGCCTCTTTCTGTGTGTAATTAATTATAAACACACGTGTTTTCGTATTTTAAAATACAATTACTTTCTCCGGTACATAATAAATGACCAATTTATTTTTTTATTTTGGTCCAAAATAAGTGTCCATTTATATAATCAAGAAAGAATTCAATTTATTTTTACAAAATTACCCTGATGTACATATCCCTAAAAAAATTTCTTACTCCTCACATTAAATATTTAGTTAAGGGTAGTTTAGTCATACTAGGTATTTTTGTATAGAATTTATTATTTTTCTTAATGGGCGTGCCAAAAACAAATTGAAATAATAAAAAATTATATGTACACAACAACAAGACCAAAAAGTTTGGGAAATATTGCTTGGCCCTCGTGAAAATTTGATAACAGTGTGTCCAGTACATGCGTCGTTTATTGCAGCACTACTAAATATTCACGTAATGTGACTAGTGACATTCACATTTGACAGCTAAATAATTAATGAATAGTGATCAGTAATCTATCAAAGCTAATCGCAAGTCACGTTAAGAACGCCTGGTTTAAAGTATTTTAAGTATAGATTAGGGATGGTCAGTTTTATTTACTCTAGATTGAAATGGCCTATACCAGGACTACTTGATTGGCTTTGTTATTAAACAACGTTAACAACAGCAGAAAGAAGAGATTGAACACTGATGGGATCTTGGAGAGACAAATTATTTGGATTCTAAAGTTAGAGACAGTTTTCACGAATAAATTAGTGTTCTCTTTAATTAGACATTACTTAAATAGGAAGGCTGATTTCCAAATTGTACTTGGTTCTACACATACAGAGTATCTGTCACTATAGGAAATAAGGTTTTCCGTGATGATATTTCATAGTGACTTCTTTAATCGCCATCAAAAGTAAGTGGCGAGTCGCCAAAATAATATTATTTCCTCTAGTGTTTATATCTTTTCCACATTATTAATTTTTCAAAAATAGGAAATAAGAAGAGTAAATAAATTTGTGTTGCTATGTTCTACTGAATATATATCCAGAAAAATATTTTAGGTAAACACTCCTATATGCTTTGTTGAAGGTGATATTTGGAGATGGAACAATTACTTTTGTTGTGTGCCTTTAATTAAAACAATGTCATATGCTATACTTCAATTCTACTACTTTAGGGAGTATTAATTAGTGAAAGTTTATACTTAGAAACTTCGTATTACGAATCAATCCTACTCTGCTAGCACTAATAGGATCCTTTTTAATTTGTCGGAGAAAAATAAAAACAGCAAATGGTGATTCTGACTCCATGTCTGAATTTGTAGAGCAAAAAGAACGTAAGACATTTTGTCCCTTTTGAAGTATTCGTTGTCTTATGGTTGGATCATCGAGTAGGATTCAAGTGACAAGATATATTTTAGACCTAATAATTAACTGAATTATAGTAGCAAGTTTTGGCTTGGTCAATGGCGGCTATCTTGTCACATAATAGTACAAAATTACAGTTTCTAGAGGACCCATGTTTATTAGATTTATGGTTTGATTAGTGAAAAGAACAGAATGTAACACACAAATTATTGTAGAAAGAACCATGTCTTGATGTTAACATGAACAGCATCACCAAGATTATAACCTCTATTCACATTCATCTATACCTGAAGATATAACTAGCCGCAACATTATCATGTTGCGTCACAGGTATTTAACTTCCTTTTTGGCGTTTGCATTAGGATTTAAGTCGTTCTATGTTATTATAATACCAATGTAGTTTAATATGCGACAGCAAGGAGTACTAGTTATTAATTAATACTAATCATAGATATATATATTTGTAATTACCTTACAAATGATCTGATTATGTACATATCTTCTATGTAGTCTTTTGAAGGATTGTGATAGAATAATTAGCACTTTGAAATTAGTAGATCCCTAAACAATTGGAGTGTTTGGCCAACATGTACACCCAATATATTAATCTTTGTTTTTTTCTTTTTTTCTTTTCTCAAATGCCTAATAATCCAAACAGCCAATCATTTTCAAAAAATAAGCTATTAGTTCTTAATTGATGGTTTTTTTTTTCTTGTTAATATATTGCAATGATTGTGAGCATTGAGCTTGAGTCAATTGACAGGAACTCCAGCTCGTT